AAATAGCTTACTAGAAAAGTCTAAATTTTTTTTTTAAAGCACATTAGAAACATAAAGGATGATGTGACAATTTTTCAAACTATGAGAGGTCTTTTTAGTATTCTCACCATTATTAGAATATTACGGCATCTTTGAGATTAAAAGAGAGTCTTAAGTGTACCAGACAAACATAGAGAGAAATTTTACAAACACAACTTTGCCTTCTCCCAAAACGAGAAAAATGGCTTCTTATTTATAGGCAAATACAGGAATAGAAGGAGAATAACCTTCTACCGAGTACAAACATTTTACATGATCCATGTGAAATATTGTCAACGTGGGGGATAGAAATTTAAAAACAAAACATAGTACACATGGCTAAGAGCTTGACATTTTTGACTTTTTTTTTTTTCAGTTTTGACTACACAAAAACATTATTACGCTTGATATGGCAAACTTCCATATGATCCACACATATTTTACAGATAAACATTAAGGACATAGATATTAATTTTAAGACACATAGTACTCTTAAATTTTGCAACAAATTTGTCCGCAATAGAGTTTTAATCATCTGACAAATTTGTAGCATTCCACGAGTCTTCATCACAAAAATCGAGATAGCCCATTACTTAAATCCAATTAGTAGCGATTTATCGATAAGATGAATTTGGATAAGTATCCAAAGAAATGACTGGAGACTGAGCTGGCTACTTTACAATGGTACTTGGTGCATACATGTACTGCTACCGCTTGGATTTATGAAGATAATGGTCATGAGTCTGCTGAAACTCTTCTTTTTCATCAATGTCTGGTTGAGAATGTGGATACCACAATTCTGGATAGTCTTGTATATCTGAAGTGGCATTAATAATGAAACTTATGCATGTCTGTCTAGCTTGGAGTAGCTTCTCAGTGTAGGCTTGAGGAAAGAGTTCCCATGGAGAATCATCGTGAAAAGACGGCCATAACTCATCTGGAATCGTCTGATTTTTCTTAAAAAGGATTTTTTGAATAGATCTAATCTCAAGAGGGTGATCAAACATAATATGGACCAAATCATATGGATAGGACCTATGAAATGTGACTTGATGCTGTGAGAAGCATAAGCCATCAAATCTGATATAGTGGTGTCTATGAAAAAACATGATGGACCATGCCACTTTGGTTGACATAGGACCTCGATGTCGAGCAAGTTGATGAGTAAACACAGACTTCCATTTTTCCAAGGTTTTGAGCCATTTAGGAAAAGTCATCAAAGGGTCTAATCCAAAGTTTGAAGATGACTAATACTGAGAAATCATTTTCAACATGTAATGGAGAGGGAATTGGACTGCAATGTGATAATGGTGTAACATATACCAAAAGAACCATAATAATTCTTTTAAAAGTATAAATTTGGACCAGGAGGTATACAAAAGATCTTTGAAAAGGGATAATCTAGATTAACACCTAATATATCATACATGGATTGTCCATACTTTTCAATGCATTGGATTTGATAAGAAAACATGAGGGTGGTGGCATTTCCATCAATGGTACGAGTTCGGACAAGGTTATAGAATTCAGGAGGTGTGTCTGGTATAAGGTTAGGTGAAGAAGAGGATGAACAAAAACTGGACTGGGTTAGTGGTTGATACATGAAACAAGGAAGTGGTTTGGACCTAGGGTTAATGAAACAAACTTGTTTAGCTTTAGGCCTGGATAAATAATCTGCAATGGTATTGGTGTGGCTTTTGATGTGTTGGATGATGAAAGAGTATTTGTTAAACCATTCTGCCCATTTGAGTAATTGTTGATGTGAAACCTTTTTCTTGTTGAATTGAAGTATTTGATCAAAAGATTTCATGTCTATTTCAACAAAGAAATGATGTCCAACAAGATGAAATTCAAACCTTACAATAGCATATTTTACTACCAATATTTCTTTGAAAGTAGAATGATAATGTTGTTGATGCGATTTGAATTGTTCGCTCTGGTATCCACACAAATGTCATACTTTATCATCATCTTATTTAAAAAGCACTGCACCCTAATGGGTGTCACTAGCATCTGTCTAAAGAATTCGTTTCCTATAAGATGGGATCTTCAATAGTTATGTAAGGAAAGCTTTGTGCTTAAGACCCTTAACTGCATTGGTTTGCCTGTCAGAACATAAAGGAGAATTATTCTTAAGTATCTGGAAAAGTTGAGAGGTAAGTTGGGAAATGTTGGGGATGAAACTGCGCATGTAATTGGCAATTCCCAAGAATTGTTGCATTTCTTTCTAAGTGGTGAGAAAACTTGGGAATTTTTGTAACTCATTAGCAATATAAGTCTGGAGGTCATACTTGCCATCAACATTGACCATACCAAGAAAATCAATCTTTGTCTGACCTAGCTGGATTTTCTTCTCAGAGAACATGATACCATAAGAGTGTATGATATCAGCAAATTTGCAAAGAAGATGAAGATGAGACTCTTTATCTTTTGAGAAGAGGAGGATATTATCAATATAGATAAGACATGTATGAAGAAGAGGAGCAAATATCTTCATCATGGCTTTTTAGACAAAGAAGAAGTCACTTTAAGACTAAAAGGCATGATTGTCCATTGGTAATTTGGTTAGGAATGTAGAAAGCAGTCTTATGACGATCATCAGGATGAATTCCAAGTTACCTAAACCCTGCTTTGAGATCAAATTTGGAAAACATCTTTCCAGTATGTAAATTTGCAAAAAGGATTTATCTGGAAGGCAGAGGAAATTTGTCATCGCAGAGAAAGAAATTCAAAGGCTGATAATTGATAACAAGTCTAAGCTTTCCTTTGGTTTGTTCAACATGTTTATTGACATAAAATGATTCACATGCCCATTGAGAATCTGTGGGTTCAATCAATCCTTGAGATAAAAGTTGAGTACATTCTTGTTGAGCAAGGCTACGATTTTCTGGTGACATACTAGAGTGGCTGGCTTTAGTGGGATTGATATCTTCACTTTCGATGAATGGAAGATGAATAAAGAAATCAAAGTTCTTCCATAATGGATGGGAACATTTGGTGAGAAAATCTGCATGAGAATCTGCACAGGATCTAGAAATAAGCTGGACTTTGATTTGCTCAATGGGATTGCTTTCAATCTAAAACAATTTAGGTTGAGTGATCCAAGATTGGAAAAACATCTTGTACCAAATACCATCAGGGAGGATTCTAAGTTTATTGAGTTTGGAATAAATATCAAAACTTAGTACCATATCTTTGCCAAGTAAATTAGAACCAAGAACTTTGTGAAAAGTGAAACATCTTGGAAAAATTTAAATTTTAATGGGTTTGCTGATCAGATGAGTAGTGAAAGTGCCATTATTAGCAATGTAGAAAACTTCTTGATAAGGTTTCCACTGGGAGGATAGGAGGATTTTAGGATTGATAATAGTGCGAGTAGCACCAATATCAAAAAATGCTATAATAGAAATAGGAGTGGAATATTTAGTAGGGAAGATTTGGATTTTTGCTATAAGTATTTGACATGAGAAGGTTAATGATGGAAAGGATTGTGGAATTTGTTGAATCTGGTAGCAATAGTGACAATAATTTGAATTAGAGAAATTAATATCAGTGGCTAGAAACTGAAAAACAGTATCTAAAGTGGGTTCTTCATCCATGACATCATCATCAGAAAAGTCTATATCAATGAGTTGAGAAAGTTGTTGCATCATTTTTGTTGATGGTATGGGCTTGTTCAGACAATTCTTAGCAAAATGGCTAGGACAGTTGCACAAGTAACACCAATTAGATTGTTTGCCTTGGCGTTTCTTTGTTTGAAGAACTTGCAAAACTTGAAGCTTCGAGACTTGCGTCTAGTAGAAGCATCAGGTTGAGAATACTTAATATGTCTAGAATAAAACTTCTTTTTGGTAGGACAAGAACATGAGTGATCTGATTTGCACTTGATCTTCAAGTCTGGTTTGTGGCAAACCTTTGTCATTTGTTTAGAGCGTTTCAGATAGTCATCAAAAAATTATTTCTGAGAACAAAGATTTTCTAGAGCAAGACAAACTGATAAATTTCTCCAAGAAAAGTGGAACAAAGGTGTTTTCTTTGAGATTACATGAGCTTGGTTGCTTTATGACTTAGAAATTCTGGAATGGAGGCTAAAAAGGCTTGCTTCATATTAGGATCATCCATTCTTTTTAAGTACATTATATCCTTTCAACATTTCTTTATAATGTTTGTCAAGATCTTTTTTTTTAGAGAATATCATCGCATCTTGAAATATTCTTCTTTGACCTAGTTTTCATAATAGTTGGGCAAAAATAGTTGCAGAAACCCCACATAAAAGCATCTAAATTGCAATCGATCGGCGAAAGGTGAATAAAATTCTGGGCCCATTTATTCCGGCCTTGGGCATCAAAATTCAATATTCTGCAATTAATTGATTTGTTGCCCAAAAAATAATATCAACAACTAATTTTTGTGGTTGCCAATTCTTGGGTGGTAATTTTTTCCTGCGAAAACAGCATAATTGGCGTCTACATTAATAGATTTTGCAACTAAATTTTTGGTCACAGGAAACAATTTTTTGTAACTACACTATCATTGCTAAATTCGACACAAATATTTAGGGTTTAATTTGTAACTATTTGATTAGTTACAGAATAACACAATTACCGAAATATCCTAGCTTTTATCTAGAATTGCAAGAGGCCCATGGTATATTTAGCAACAAATAATTTTGTGCTTATTATAAATAGTTGCAAAAACTCATCTATAGCAACTAAATTGTATTTAGTCACCAAAATGAATGGAATTTTTTAGGTGCCCAATGTACTTAGTTAAATGAAGGAAAATAATTGTTTTAGTGACTAAAATGAATTTTGAATGACTAATTCGTTAGTTGTAAATGATCATTTTTGGGCAACTAAGTATTTAGTTGCGAAATATAGTGAAAATTATGCAACCAAATTTTGGGCGGCTCATGTTCCCGCTTGAAATAAATTGGAAGGCTGCATTTAAATATGGCATAGTTGTAATTTTGCAGACAATAACAAAGATATGCTTATGTCGTAAACATCTAACACTCACAAAAATTTACCCAAAAACAATGAGCCCTAAACCTTTTCTACACTAAGGTTCATATTCATCGATTTCTCCAAAGTATCTCCCGTTCATATCATCGATTTGTCCCACTAAGGTTTGCGTTTTTATTCACTTTCTTGTTCTTTAGATCTTCAATTTTATTTTCTATACATTTATTTCTGTGTATCTTCTAGGTTTTTTTTTTTTTAAAACTGCCTTGTGGGTTTGTTCTTTCGATCTCTTTTTGATTTGGGTTTTGATTTGAGTGTGATTCAACTCTTTCAGAGGTAAGCTTTAATGGGTTTTCTTTGTTTCATGACTCTTATTTTAAATAATTGTTCTATTTTTAATATGTTTTGCTAATGATGTTAAATTTGTTTGGGTTTTGCCTGATTTAGTGGTTGTTTTGGGTGTGGATTTGGTCGGTTCAATACGATTGTTTCATGACACTCGTTGGAGCGTCGAGAAAGGGTGGGTTAATGAACAAGTAAGAGAGCTATATCTAAGTTCATCAGGTATGAATTATCAAATTAATGTTGCATGAGTTGTATAGTTACGATTGTATCTATTATTACTTAATTTCTTGCACAAGAAACTCATCAATTCAATGCTTATTTGTCTAATAAATAATGTTTTGATACAAACATAAATTATAGATATGTAGAAAGAAATATAATCATAGCACTCACTGGGCAACATGCAGGGATGAATGTTGATATATAGTTCTCTATATAATGGATAAATCACAGACTAATTTTGAGGCAATACTAAACACATTTTATTGTTAGAAAGCAACTTGACAATGCTAAATAAATGAAAACTTTGTCTGTTTTAGAGTGTTCTCTATATAGCCAAAAAAAGAAGAAATAAAACTCAGCTGAATCATGATTAATTTACCTATAAATTTCATTCATGAGATATTGGTGGATGAGATGCGTATTGGTGGAGATGCATACTGGTGGAGATCTGAAGTAGAAAGTGAATCCAATATAGTAGATTGATTTTCTTCTTAATTTCTTACTGATGTTGATGTTGAAGAAGATGATGAGACATTATGCATATAATTCATATAAACTCTGAATATTTACATAATATTCTATAAGTTTGGCCATGTTAAACCACAACTATTGACTGCACCGCAGAGAATGGATGAGATGCATATGAGGTGTTCATACTATATGCATTCAATAAATGGTGTTAAATGTTATTATATTGTATCTATTGAATCCCAAATTCTTGCTGGACTTATTGCTTATGGTATGAATTGATGGCAGGAGAAAGTGATTGTGATGCAAGAGGAAACCAATGCGAGGGAAAGTGAAAGATCTGAAGCTAAAATCTGTGAAGAAGTGCTTGGTAAAGCTTTCGGCTTCAACCAAAATTTTGCATTCTCGGTGACTCAGTAGCAAGATACAACAGATGCAACAGAGCTAAGGCGCACAGTTCAACACAACAAAAAAAGATTTAAAGATTTGGAGGAGCAACTCATACTATTTGAAGAACTAAAGGATAAAATCAAATTGCTGGAAGAACAACATCAAAAAATGTTTGAGATGATAACTCACATGACTACAGCAGCTGCAAGTGCACAACTTGTTACCACTCCAAATCCACTTCCAACTCTATCTCCAACTGATAATGAGTCATCATCTTCTGCATCAGCTGCGTCTAGAACCCGCTGGTAACGTTTGAGATGCTACCATTGATGGTTAGTTTTCGTATTGTGTGGGCAGTACATATTTTGATATGGGGGTAGGATATAATTTTTCTTTTTTTTTGGACTTTTTGGGATTGCTTGCGCATATATTTAGATGGTATTGATGAAAATAATGGGTGCATGCTTTTGTTTTTGGTTATGCACACATGATAGTGCATTTCTGGATTTTTATTGCTCATGTTGCAAAAAAATATCCATGTATGAACTATTGACTTTATATCCAATGAAGATAATCGATGTTATTGATCCACATTTTTGTATTGTGTCTCTTATTTTGTTGATGTTCAATGTGTTCACCAGGTGAATTACAAGAAGTAGCGACATTACTCTTAAATGTAATCCTATTTGACACTAAAGTTTTAGTAGCAAAAATAATAAACAATCTTGGACTAATCAAATATTATTAACTAAAAAAAATTAGTTTCCAAATCTCATATACTATGGGCAACTATACCACTTAGATGTCAGATGTAGAAAAATCCATTTTCCTAATCAAATGATCAGTTGCGAAATCAAAGAAAGCAAATGGGTCAAACACTTTTAGTAACTAAGATTGAGTTGTTTTCGGCACAGATAATTTAATCATTAAAACACACTTTCTACAACTAAGTTAATGGTTGTAGAAAGGAAATTATCTTATTTCGGTTCAACATTCTCCGATTAAAATTTTTGGCATTTACCACTAAAGTTTTAGTCATTAAAAGAGGTATTCTGCAATTAAAAAATTAATTGCGAAATGCTTTTATCAAATTACCTTTAAGCATTCGGTGTCTATTTTTTGGGGAATTACTATCCATTTTTTAGTCATTAAAAGCTACATTATGTAACTCAATCAATAGTTGCAATGCAATTTTACCAAATTACCCTTATTCATTTGACGTTTAATTCAGGGGACTCTTTTTCGAGGCAATTAGTAACTAAATTGTTGGTCGCTAAAGACAAAATTTTGGCGTCTAACTATGTTTTTAGTCATGGATGCTTTTTGGGACAACGTTTTTGCATCTAGCTGGCGACTAAGGAATTCTAGACACGATACACAATCAATGTCTAAATTTGACTATTAGCATATATTTTCGATAGATGTCGAATGCCATTTTTCTTGTAGTATATAAAGACGAGGTAATCTGCAAAATTCATCATAGAGGGGATATAGAGCTTGATTAATATCTAGCATTTAGATTAACAACATTTTTCTTTATTCCTCAAGACTATTCCACCAATCACGGAGAATTCCACCAAATTTAGTTGAAGCTTGTTATGAACAGTGGAAACTTAAGCATTAGGTTTAACCATCTCAGCTGGTAACCAGGCTTGAAATTCATACATCAGATTTCTCAATTTATGTGGAGGAAGATCATCAATAGTAAAAGTGTGGAGCTTGACTGAAGTTGTATGAGATCATGCTCAACTGTAGTATGACGGGGTTGTCGATACATAAGTGGAGAATCTAGAATGAAATCATTACCTTCAGGCATTTCATCATCATCAACTTTTGCGACAACAAGTTGTCTTAAGGGTTTGGGTTGGTGAGTCATTAATTGAGGATAAACATTAAAGTGTTGATTAGAAGTACCACTGGCAGAATCAAAGCTACTGTCAAACAATTCATCACTAGAAAGCATATCAGCTTTTGATTTTGTTTGGAAGGAAGACGAAGAAGCCTGAGTTATACTAGAGGTTGCAATACACTGTCTTTCTACCATGTCTTTAAGAAAAGAGCTCATATAATTGGAAGAAAGAGGACTGTCTGAATAGACAGGATTAGCAAAAGTCTAGCGGTTTTCCATCATCATCATTTGCATCGGAACCTTATCCTTAGATAAAGGATGATGAGGCTTTGGAGATGGAGGATCTAAATGATTGGAAGAGAAAGAGTCAGGTATATTATCAGGTGTTTCCACGCCGACTTAGGTGCTTTAGCAGAATATTTGTCTCGCCTCTTTTGCTCACACTCTTGCTTATTCTTTTCATCACGTTCTTTGCAAAGTTGTTCAATATTTCCAAAAGCTTGAACTGCACCAGAAGGTCTTTGAGGAGAGACCAAAGTTTGACTGATCTTTGGAAATGGTAAAAGTAAAGGTTACAGCCAAACTGGTGAAGAGTCAAAAGGATTTGTCATTGAAGATACTTTAGGAAAAGATTGTGGTTGTCTAAGTTTTTGCTTAAGATATTCCTATTGAAGTGATGCCATTTAGATTTTGAGCAATCTCATTTCTACATCCTTCTAGATAAATTGAGCTAAATGACTATGAGAGTACCTGATGATGTGGTTCAATTCTTGGTGGAGCTGATCAATTTGTTTTTGTAAACAAGAAATCAACATAGAGATTCTAGAATTGAAAGTCCACATGATGAGTTAGCAGATCTAATTTTTGTTCTATTTTGGTCATGGTTTTATTCTGGACTAAAGCATTTTCAGTCTACCAATTAAGAATTGCTTCAGCTTGGGAAAGTTTTGGTCTCAAGCCATCAGGCTGTATAGCTTTGGAAGGAGCCACTTTTGGCTGTTGAGTCAGTTTCCTTAAGAGAAGGTAAATCCGTGTCATAAGTGAAATTCTTTCTTGTCTTTTGAGGGTTAGGTGATTGAACCATCATGATGGATTGGACTGGAGGAGTAGGAATGACGGGATAATGGATTGTTTTGTTTTCCTTTGCAATCCACCAGAAAGCCTGCTAATAACAAGGTAAAGGCTTTTTAAAGTAAGGAGACTTCGCATGTTTTGGTGGTTTTAAAGGAGATCAGGTTTTGTTGATAACAAGGTAAAATATGATATTAATAGGCTTATGCACAGAGTAGAGTTGTGAGAGTTGGTCCATTCCACATTTAGAAAACTAGTGTTCACTGGTTCTAAGTTTTGTATGTTACACTGACATCAACAAAATGTTAATAATAATAAGAAAGCCGAACGACATGCTCCCACCCGAAGTTTGCTCTAAAGACAATTTAGTATCCCAAAAGTTTGAAAACGACAATAACCCACCAATAGTTAATTTTTTTCTGTTAACTTGGTGAATTCAAAAATAGTAAAAGAGTTTTTATGTCAACAACCATCTTCTTCTTCTCGGCAACGCACATTAGCAACTTCTGCCACCAGCGCATATTAACAACCTCTGCCACAGACGTTTTGGCCACTTTCCTGCCATTTTTGACCCAAAACCTCCTCCATCCACCCTCCTGGCCCTCCCTCACTTAAACCCACCAAATCCCGACACTGGTGCACCCATTAATCACGAAAATGTGGCTACCATTATTCTTCGTGACTGTTCATATTTGAAGCCATATTCTGGTCGATATTCACATTGGAAATCCACCAATCCATCACCATTCAGATCCCCATCATTCCCTCCACGAAACCCAACCTCCCATCACTCATCCCCACTCACCATTTGTTGTCTAGCACTTAGTGTTTGCCCGCCCTCCAACTGTTTGTGAAAATCCCCCAACCAACCCAACAAGCTGCGACTCCTTTATCGATGATCTTGGGCCCTTTTAGAGTTTGTTGTTGAAAATCTTGTTATTGAAGTGTTGTTTGCTTGTGTAGGTTTTGTTTTTTGGTCGCCGTAGCTCCTCAAGGCTCTTTCCTTCATTATTTTCTAGCACGCACACAACGTGCTTGACAAAAGGTCGTAGTCAGCGACCTCCATTCCCAACATGCGCCAATGCCGTTGTTTGTCACTAGACTTTAAGAAAAAAATGCCAAATTCGGCCAAAAAACGATCGATGAGGCAAAAGGATGAGGCAAGAGGGCTGTGCAAATAGGCTTAGGGTGATGGATTCCGTCAATTTTGGCAAAGAATCTAACTGGATTCAACGCAATCGTCCAACTATTTTCAGCTGTATGTAAAATGACTATCCTATGCTTCTTTAAACAGATTTTATTAACAAATTTTAACAGTAACGTGGGAAATTGTCTGACAGACTTAATAGTTGGTGGGTTATTGTCATTTTCAAACTTTTGGGGTACCGAATTGTCTTTAAAGAAAACTTTAGGTGGGAGCAATAAGAAATACGCCGAAAGGATGTCAGCTGCCCATAAACGAAGCAACATACTCCAGACCATATAATTTTTATTTTGTAATTATATAACTATACGTAGAGGTAATAATTTTAGAAAAAAATTAAATAGTACATTTGGTTACAGAAGGAGAACCATAATGTTTTTAGGAGAATCATAATAGCATGATAAAATGTATGATATTTAGGTTGCTTCCCTTCCCATAGAATTTATCTAATTTTTTTAAGGTAATATATGTTTATTAGCACTTAAACAAAACTTTAAGATTAAATAATTTATTTTATCTAAGACTTTTCTAGTAAGGTATTTGTGAGTGTTTTTTAGCCCAATAGTTTGAATAGAGTTGTGAGAGTTGGTCCATTCCACATTTACAATATAAGTGACCATGTTACACTGACATCAACAAAATACAAATAAAAATAAAAAACGCCAAAAGGATCTCACCCGTCCATAAATGAACCAACTCCAGACCATTGATCAAGAAAACTTATAGTTTAAGACCCTTTCATAACTTCTTATCAATTCATTTTATTTATAAGATTAGTAAAACCATAATTATTAATACAAGAATTTACATAATAATTTAAAAATATGATAAAAATACAATTTTTTTTTTATAAATCATCACTCCAACCTATCAAATGGACATTTTTTAATTAAAAAACCAATATTATTAGAAGCTGTAACACAAAAGAGAA